CACATTATCGGTGAGTAACATAGTCTATATTTTAATTTCACGCGGACGAACTCGCGAGCATTCAGAACTTAACTAACCGTTGCTCGCGACTTCGTCCGCGTGAATTACAAAAATAGTAAAAACATTGCCTCTGTTACTCAGTCATAACATAAGTTTTAATTGTGCAAGAATTTTTGAAATCGGTCCAGTAGTTCTTGAGTAATTTCAATACATACAAAAATACAAATCTGTTTACAATATTACTATAGATTAACACAATATAGATTAACTTTGCTTGTTATTTTTGTAATTAAATCCAAACAGGTCTTTATACAGGACTTTGTTTTAACATTCGGTTCTGAAAGCATTAAATTTGAACGTATTCGGATATGTTTGTTCTATCGTCTTGCATTAAGTTTTCAACCTGAAGTTTCAACATGTGGTGGTAACATTTCTAGTTAGCATTTGCAGCATATTTAGTCTGCGTTTGAAATGAACTTCGCGTAGTTAAGTTGATTTAGGTAAATTAAATGTTACATCATTGATATTGGAATTTACTGCCACGCTGTCATTTAATGGTTAGGAGAGATCGCCAGCTCGCCCGGTGTAATACCACGATCACACAGAAAACAGGCGTTAAATGGAAGCAATTTCTCGTTTCGTCTGATGAGTTGGTGCCGGAGGCCTAATTTTAGTACCTTTCCCTTTCCACCTTTTTCTTAAGAGGAAAGGATGGGAAGGAGAAGTGGATTTGACTGTGGAGGAGATGCATAGCAAGGGGAAATGTCCTCTTTATGTGCGTCTCCTCCTCCGTCAATCAAGGGTTGGCAACACATCTGCAATTGCGGATATTTATGGGCAGCGTTCGCTTTTCATTTCGGTGGATTCAGGTGGCCGTTTGCCACCTTATATTATAAAAAAAAGAGAGCCACCTAATACAATAAAACTACACTGTAGGGAAAATGAGTGTGGAATTTAAACTAATTTACAACGAAACAGAAATTACGAATAACAATAGTAACGATGAAAAATTATTGTAGACTAACTTTTGTTTGCGTCTTCGTCCGCGTGATATTTAAAAAATATCTATTAATAAATATAGCCTATGGTACTCAGCGATATTACAGTTTTCCGTTGATATAAGTATTATTAAAATCGGTCTTGTATTTTTTGATTTTATTTGTTACAAACGTACAAATATATTCATTATATTAGTATGAACATAATCAGGTGACGTGGTTAATGTATAATTTTTGGTTTCGTACTGAAAGCTGAATCAATATTGTAATTTTAGATACGATTGAATTATAATCCGATTTGAATAATATTCAAAGGAACTGAATGGAGGACAGAATCGTCTACATTCAATCGTGAATGTGTTTTCAAAACAAAAATTGA